CCCAGGACAATCGGTAGCTATGTACATCAAGTGGAGGATCAGTGCAAGCCCATCAGGAAGCTCCACAGCAGGCCACAATCCCTCAACAGTCAGCCGCAAGTGACACGAAGACGACAGTGAGAAGGATTGAGGGCACTCCAGCAACGATTGACCTCCGTGAAAAGCACAACTTTTGTGAAGAGTTTCACAGAGTTCCAGTGGTTCACTTTTTCATTGGGGATGATGATGACATGCCGTGTGAGGAAGATCAAAGTCCTTTGAAGAGTTTGGAGGATTCAGAATACAAGCCACAGAAGGTGAGAAGGCTTCAAGAGAAAGGAGAAGATTTTCAATCATCGACAGTGGAGCAGATGCGGCACTTTTCCCCACACATGGCAGAGCTTGCATCAGGAGAGATGATTTCGAGTTCAGAGACAGGTCGCAGGATGCACAAGGGAAGAATCCCTACTGGAGGAGCAAAGAGTTTCGCAATTGTCTTGGAGGACGGGCAAGGAGGTCATTCTGTGAGAATGTGATCTTCAGCTAAATGGTGACTCAGCGCATTCTATGCTATGGAAGGTTGATGGACCATGGATGGGGCATCAATGGAAGAGAACAGCTCTTGGAAAAAGGGAGAGTGGAGGATTCCCCTTCACATGCAGACCAAATCCTTAGAGTCAGAGTGATTCGAGAAGATGATGAGGACTGTTTGGAAGTCAAAGTACCAGAAGCCTTAGAGAAGGTAGCAGGGTGGCGCTTCAATGAGCATGGAACGCTGCTGGCAGTCTGTTGATGAGCAAGTTCGTGGATCTGACCTTCATTCCAGAGATGGAGTAATTACTGAAGTCATGATGAAGAAAAAGGAGTTGGACGAGGAGTTCTTTGAAGATGGAGTGGTAGTGCCAGTTGTTACCATCTTCAGCTATGACACCGCACCTCCGGCTACAAGAGGCTTGAGATAAGGGAGGACAGAAAGAAGGTTGCGAAAGAAGCAGCAAAGGCAGTGGCTCCTACTCCAGCGGAAGCCATTGAAGATGAGAAGACGAAGGAGAGAAGGAGGATGATGACTTGGAGCGCGAACTTTAAATCAGCCCAATGCAGGTCGAGAATGTCTTTGTGAATGGAGTGGAATTGACGAAAGAGTCGACCCTTTCAACCCTGAGAGCAGCATGTTCATTCTTGGGGATCTCAGGAAGCGGCTCAAAGCTCAAGGTCTTCACTAAGGTCTTGAATCACAACAAGAAGATGGAACTTTTTGAATGCAAAGAGCTTGATGAGTGAAGCCAAATCCAGAGAGACGAGGGAAGCTTGTGGCCAATCAGTTGCAAAGATACCAGATGAGCACACAGATTGAATCATGTGCCTTATGCCAAGTGGTGCAAAGAGTGCATTGAACAACGAGCTCGGCCAGATAGGCATGAGAGAACGGATGGGACAAAGAGAGGATCTATACCTGAGGTGAGCTTCGACTTTTGTTACACGGGAGCCAAAGACTCAGAGAACAAGACAGCACAAGCGGTTTGCTGGTTGGTAGCCATAGACAACCAGACCAATTACATTCATGTCCTTCCTTTGAGCAGCAAGGGGCAATTTGAACTCATTGTCCAGGAACTCATGAGCTTCAGTCAGACGCTTGGCTATCCAGCTATCACCTATCGGAGCGACAATGAACCATCGACAAGGCAGATTCTACAGCTCCTAGTCAATGCAAGCAAGGAACTGGGTTTGACAACCAGATTCAATCCGACAAAGATTGGAGACCATTCCTTCCTGTCTGAGAACATCGTTGATCGAGTGTGTAAGCTGGCAGGAACGTTCATTGAGGGTCTTCAGTCAAAGAGCCAGTTCATGGGTACATCAGAAGCAACAACAAGGGAGAAGCACGTTGGCACGTATGCATCTTCCTCGGCAAGTCAACTGATCTCTCTCTTGACTGACGGCTCCCAGATCGTCCTGAGCAAGTGCACCGATCAAGGGTCCAAGTACCGCCCCATCTACAAGTCCTTCAACGCTTTCTCATGGGAATACCAGACGAACTTCGGAGGCCGTATCATTGCGACAAAGAGAAAGGCAGAAACACTTCGTGCTGGAGTTTCGAGATGAGGATGCTGAAGTTGTGATGGCAAAAGCTCTTGAAGGTACAAGCGAATGGGAGATGAAACACCGGGAAAGAGACAAAAGGTTGTCTTTGCGGATGAGAAGACTCTAGAGGAGATGAAGGTGTTCACTCCAAAGCAAAGTTCAGTGACTCCAACTTCTGCACCAATCAGGCTACCTTCCTCATCGGCAAGGCGGTTTGTGGGAGGAGGAGAGCCCAATGAAGAAGTTGAGGCCGTCAGAAGAAGCAACAAAGAGAGCTCGAATCAATATGGTACAAGTTGGAGAGAAGACCTTTACCACATCGATGAGGAGATGCCACCAATACCAAAGGAAGAGATTGATTGGGAAGAAGGAGAACAAGACGTAGAAGCTACCGAGAAGTTGAATGATGATGAGTGTCTTTGGCGAGATGGTGATCAAGCACCTGAGGAGGATCCAGAACCTTGGGTGGACCGAGTAGCAGATGAGGACCATGCAGCAATGCAGATGGCAGCATGTCCAAAAGGTGGAAAGGAGGTCGCGACTCGTGGCAAAAGAACTTGCATTAGCGGAAGGAAAACGTGATGATATCTTCAGTCCCGCCACTTCTGGACATGTGCTAAAGATCTTGCCTGCAGTCTTTCTTCAGAAGTCAGTGATGAAGATGAATCGAGAGAAGGAGGAAGAGAGTTTAGCCATGTACTGGGGTGTCTGGACATCAAGGATGCCTTTCTCCAGGTACCTCAAGAAAAGCCGTTGAAAGTTTCTTTGAGAGGAGAAACGTACTTGTTGAAGAGAAATCTTCCAGGTCAACGCATTGGGGCCATAGCTTGGTTTGACTACTCACGGAATTTCTCAAGGAGAAGTTGAATTTCAGATTCCGCTCAGAGTGTCCATGTCTTGGCAGGACGGATGAGTGCATCCTTTTGATTCACTTTGATGATCTGATTTTCACAGGATCCTCAAAGTATGTGAATGAGATTCTCCTTCCGACAGTGAGCGGCAGATTTGACACCAGTGTGAACAAGATCGAGAAGATAGGAGATGAGATGACCTTTCTGAGGAGGAGCTACAAGTTGAAGACTGAAGGACTTTGGATCCAACCTGGGAACTACATCCATCACATTACCAAGCTTTATGAAGAAGACATTGGGAAGGTCAAAGTGCAACAGTTGCCAACAGAGAGCTCACTACAGACAGAAGACAAGTCGGAGGTGGTAGAAGATCCAAAGAAAGCAACACTTTACAGGAGTCATTGGATCAGGCATCAATTTATACCAAGAACACTATGATGTTGCTTTCACAGTCAAAGAGCTGGAAGCGAAGATGTCAAGCCCTACAGAAATGTTCCTTCATCACCTCAAGAAGTTCCTCGGTTTAAAAGGAACGGTCGACTATTACTATGTGAAGAAGGGTGGAGGATATTGGTGTTTGGAGACCCTATTTCTGAGAGGATTTCATGGGTTGAACAGGTGCCCTCTCTTCAACAGTAGCAGAACCCAGAAAGTTGTGAGCTTGTCATCATGCGAGGCAGAGCTGCATACAATGGTGTCTGCAACTTCAGACGGCATTCACAGATTCTTCAAGTGCAAGACAATTTGTTGCAAAGAAAGGTGTTGGAAAAGTGAAACACTTTGACAAAAAGCTTTTGTGGATTCAACTTACAGAAAGGGCATTGTCATCACTCAAGTTCCAAGAGAAAGCAATATAGCAGATCTTGACACCAAACCGCTTGGAGGAGAATCCGCTTTTTGCTGAATCTCATTGGGTTTGGGCAACGTGATGGAAGCTCAAAGGTGAGAGAAGATAAGAGAAAAGAACATAAAGAGAGGAGGAGCTTCGCAAAGTTGCCAAAATGCTCAGCTCATCAGGACTAGCATTAGAAGGCTTGCAGCCAATGGCTAGTGAAGCATTCAACCTGGTCAAGATGCAGGACGAGGGGCAATGCCCAGTTGAGCAACAGTACAATGCAGAGTCCAGTGCAACTGCAGATGGTACATTGAAGTTGAACAATACATTGAGCGTGTACATTGTGTTGGTTGTGTTGACTCGTGGACTCATTGTCGTCGGTTGTACATTGTTCTTGTTGTGGCGAAGGGTTGAGAATGACTTGGAGAGAAAGAGATTGCGGCTTCATGACAGAGTGGGTGAGCTGGAAGGCATGATGATTGAGCTGGAGTATTACCATGATGAGAAAGAAACAAATGAACATGGCTCAGACTTGCTGGAAAGCTATGCACGGAGGATTCACTGCGGACTCATTTTGAACGGTGGGTTCGTAGAAGAGGAAGACCCAGACAGAATGCAAAGGCAAGCACATGAATTGGTCAATGAAGGGAATGCTGCGAATTATCCAGCAAGACGAAGTCTAGCTGATCTCCGAAGCACAAGTGAACAATACAGTGGACATGACACAATGCTCCTTGCTTCAACACAACAACCAATTCCTTCAAGAGGACCGGCATCGAGAACGCCAAGGGCAAAACGCAGAATCCAAGACAATATTGACAAGCTTGAGACACAAGAGAGAAACTTGATTCAGATGGGACGTGAAGTGGAAGCGGCATTGAGAGTGCAATTTGAGTTGACAGCATATCACAATATTCTGGAAAATGTCCCAATGGGATGAGAAGGGAAGCATTGAGCCGAGCTTAAAACAAAAGGACCGCTCAGCACAATGGGGAGTACGAACATTTTGTGCATTGGATTATGCATGATCATACCATGTGAGTTTTTTTTGTTCAACTGAAAATGCCTGTAAAAGGGCAAAACACAACTGCACAACGAATGCACATGACAGCATTGCGCACCTCTTGTTTTTTTCTGGTGCAAACGTACTTCGTCGGTGAACGAATGCAACAATTTGGCAAACTTTGGAGTTGCCACCCACGTTATCCCAACCGTTAATGAAACTACTGCAGCAGGCTATTTTGACGAGCTTCGTGTCTCACAACCTCCTGGATTTGAATCTTGGGTACCTTGGGAGGCAAAGTGAAGGCATGCATCCTGACACACCTCAGTTTTTCAACTTGCCAGGGTGCATTCAACAACATTTCATGTTCAAAGGCTTCCTCCAACAGTTCGACAACATTTCTTCCACAGGCCGCTGCGCCTCAACCACCTTCTCGATTGTCTGGATGTGGGGTACTTCGACAATCCTCTCTTGAACCTGTACTTCCACCTCGCGGACATCGAACACACCAAAATTGTAGCTGTAAGCACACCTAAATTGTACCACCTAAACTAGTTTCACAAATTGAGTTCCTCTTTTTGTGGCCTTGGGAACATGCCGCACCACTTCCTGGACGTGAAGCTTGGGCACGTGCTTGATAACCTCGTGGACCTGTGCCAAAGCTGACTACTACCGCGGAAGCATCAACACGACCATGAAGGTCCCTGTAAATACGGGGACTCTTGGAATCAAAGCAAAGTTGAAGTTGCAAGCACGCAAGGCATTTGAGTTCCTTTGCGTCCGTTTATCTTTGCTCGAAACACAAACACAAAGTTTCCATGCATGAACACAAATCAAACAAACACGACAACCAAATCCAACATTTGATGCCTGTGTCTGCGGCACTTCCACTATCTTTTCCACTACTTGCACTTGGGGAACCTCGATGATTTTCTCCTGAAAAAGCCAAGCAATGACTTTCAGATTTAAACGCACCAAACAACTACAAATTTGGGACTAACCAAAGAACAAAATGTGGACGCTCACACATCTCTCAAACGTACCAACACATAGCCATTAAAACGTCACAAGCAATGCAAAGGCGCATGACTCAAACTCTGCCTCACCCATCAACGCCATATCATCATACCATAGCACCCAAGCTATATATATATATATAAAATATGAAAAGCACGGAGCGCGACTTTTCACTCGCGAACTTGGGCCTAGTTGGCCATCGTGTTCATGCGTCCTCATGTGCTTGGCTGACTGTCGTCCTGCGTTTGTCCAAATCCTGTCACTCCTCCTTCGGCCAAGCGCAAATGACACTGTCGAACTTGCTGTGCTCTCGCAAAATGCGGGCACGCAACTGAAAAGTGTAGAACCCTTCCAGCTGCTGTCATTCGCAGCCGATGCAAGCGATGCTCGAGCCTGCTACTGTACTTTTCAGCGATTTCTCGCACCTTCAAAAAATCCTCTAAACTTTCCTTCATTCGCTCTACCTGTGCTTCAAGTTCATCTATGTACGTTTCCTTGGGGGAACATTCATTCTCCAGGTTCTGGATCTTTTCTACACATCGAGCACAGGCATGGCAACCAAGCCACTGTGAGGCTTGAATTTCACTGTCTCTCACTTCCATTTTTGCACTCGTGTAGACCTTCTTCCACGAGGTACTGCATGAAGTTCCCAATGCTCTTGATCAGAGCGCTCACGTAGTTGCGCAGCCACGTCCACAGGCTCAAGGCCCCAATACATGCACATAGGCAAAGCGCCCACCAGCCGAAGTCCATCTTGTCCCCATCAGCTTGTCCTTCTTCTGCTGGCGCTCCACTTGCTTTGCCAAGCTTGGCCATGGGCATCAATAGGCCAATCCTCAAGTCCTTGCTCTTGTTGAACTTCTTCAGGCTCATCTTCATTTGGTACTCTTTCTCAATTTCATGGAACTCCTCTTCACCCACGCGGTCACCCACGGCGTCAATCACGCCCATCATGTAGAGAAGCCCTCAAAGCCTCTTCTTCGGCAGGTTCTTGGCGCCAATGTCCGCACTGTTCAGATCAGTGGGAATGGGACTCACCTGGATGATCTTGTCCCTCTCCTTCTGCTGGATCCACAGCATTGCCGCGTCCATATGACGCACTCGCCCAATGCCCTGCCTTTGTGTCACAGCAGCTGTCTGACCTGGCTTTGGTCTTGCGCACGCCACCTGTGATTTGGTTCCACAGGTGTCTTAAGAGCTCACTTTTTGCTGAGGATAGGGCAATGGCCTTTTGGCTTCTTACCTTGCGATCAATCAGGTTGCCATCCAAATACAGCTGCATGGAGGTTGTGGACTTTCTATCGTTCTTGTTACCTGCATGGTCCGAGTCCGTCACGATCTTTAGCAAGTGCTCATCAGCATCCTCCACTTCGGCTCCATCTCTTTGAAGTCCATCATCGACTGGCCCTTCTTCTTCTCTTCCAGTCGAACTCCATAGCCACTTGCGCCGAACATGTAGGAGCATGTGTACCAGGCATTTCGGAGGGCTTGCTTTGTAGGTTTCGCCATGTGCCTTGCTGAGCATTGAATTGCATACTGCCTTCCAACAGCTCTGAGTCATCCTTCTTCCCCGAAGTTGGCATCCAGCGGTGTCTTCCTGTAGAACTTGGCATAGATGTCCATGTCTTTCTCAAAGCTGTCGTACTGCTTCCTGTCACATCTGATGTCACAATGGTTGAACTGCCTTTTCAAGTAAAAGAGCTGAAAGGTCCCTTCTCTTCCACATTCCATTGTTTCTCCTCCTTGAAGTAGCGCACGAAGTCCCTCACTTTATCCTCTCTTCCAACAATGAACACATCATCGACATTCACCTTGAGGTATATGAGGTGCCTGATGAACATCAGTGTTGGTTGCATGGAATCCTGTTCAAGTCCATGCTCTCGGCAGGCTGTCGCAAACAGCTGAAACCATTGTGAAGCTGCCGTTCGTTGCCCTGGTAGGCATCTCAGGAGGTTGAATATTCGGTCATCCACTTGGACAAAGGCATTCTCAGTAAGCGGCTGCTGTGCCATGAGGAAAGCATCGTTGATGTCCAACGTGACCACCACAAATTCTCTTCTGACGTTGAGCATGTAGTGGATGAGCAACTTGGGTATTGCAATAATGGATGTAGGCGCGAATGTGGCATCCAGCTCTACGCTGTTCCTGAACTGTCTTGCAACCAATCTCGCACGCCTGAACCACCCTCCTTGCTCCACACGATGCTTCCAGCACAGAACCACCTTGGTGCTTATGATGTAGCCTTCGGTTTGTTGCGCCTCTGCTTGGTCTGTTTCAACCATGGCCGGCATCTTGATCATGCGCTCGATCTCCGTGTCACGTGCAGCCTTGTCCAACTGTTCAAGTTCCTCAGCAGAAACCTCTGGAGGATCATCACCTTCATCTCCTCCATAGCTATCCAAGTACTGCTCATCCAGCACCTGTCCCCAATTGCTTCTACTCCTGCATTCTTGGTGAACTTGCTGGTTCCTGCATCGTAGCATCCTGCTCTCCGGAAGGATTTGTTTCCTGCTCTCCTTCCTCTTTTCTCCTCTGTCTCCTCTGCAGCATCCGATAGTCTCTTTTTTCTCCTCCTCAGGCTTTTCTTCTTCATCCAACCTTCTCTTCGCTGGTCACACCTGGCGTCGTGGGTTGTGCTTGCAGTCCAGGTGCTGGTGTCACAACTCCTGTTGCCACTTCTTGCGCAATCTCTTTGAGTTCTTCCTCACTGGCCTCCATCTCGATTGTAGGCTGCCTGTATCTTTGTGCTTGTCCAGCGTGCTTCATCAGGATTCCTTGAGCAGAGTAACTCCATGGAAGACCCTTTGCTGTGAAGATCTCAGGCCCACTGAAACTCTCCTCTGGCGACAACCTCCTGATTGCGCGGGCTTCGTAAGCTCCAGTTGTTGACAGCACTACATGGTTGTCATTCCACGGATGTTTGGTCGCCCAAATGCCCTTTTCGAATCCTGCACTGCCCTTGTTGCGGATAGATCGCTTGAACATCACACTCTCTCCAAACAATGCCAGTTTCCCACGACAAGGATGTCCTGTGGCCAGTTCGAAACTGGTGCGATTTGAACCGTCCAGTACCCGAAACCTGTTGATCAGGAATGAGGCATGCTTGAATGCCGATGGGAAGATGTCCTCAGCATACCATCTCAGGCAATTTGCCATCCTCCTGATTGTTTGCGCTGCTCTCTCGACTTGTCCATTTGAAGCATGTTGACCTGCTCCAGTGAGTCGGATGTCCGTCTTCATTCCAAGGACGCTTCGGACCTGTTGTACCGACCTGAGCAGTTGTCGAGTTGCTCTCTCACTGTCGGCCCGAATGATGCACGGCTCCCTAGCCGAATTCTCTAGGGCAAATCTGACAATCTCCTCCGTCAGGGTTTTGAGACTCGCAGTACCCTTTGAGGGTATTGGCACTGCGTGTATTGCCTTCGTCTCCGAAGCCGTCGTCACTAGCACTGTCCCGTACTGGTCCTGGCGCTCGGTCACCTTGTCGACCACCACTTTCTCTGACCTGTCCTCTTCTCCTGTGTAAGTGTAGCAGAAGTCGATTTGGATCACGTTCTTCCCGATGTCTTCTTTGCAGTCTGAACGTTCATGTTTGGCCTCCTTTGACCTGCTTGCTACACATGCTCGGCACCAGGGTGCAAATGCCAGTGTGTCACGTTGTGCAATTCCTGCTCTGCCAGGCTTGGTAGCTTAGGTTGTCCCAAAGTCACTGGCCTCCTCCTCTGTTCTTTGTGCAGCTTGTTTGCTACTGCCAGGTGCATATGGTTCTCCAGGTTCACTTTGAATGCTACCAGCCTCTCAAGTAGCTTCTTCTTGCTGCCTGAAGTTGGCAACTGCCTCTCTTTGCACGCCAGTTGGAGTTCCTTCACTGTCATCTTTTCCGAGTGGGTGGTCTCGTCCAACTCCACTTCACTCTGCCTCTCTGCAACCACCATCTTCTCCACACCATGAAACATCTCTTTGGCCTCCAACTCCTCTATATCTTCTCGATCATCCTCAGACCGTTCCACATAGCCAAATGCTGATTCCGCCTGCGGGTATGGAGCTATTGGTACTTCTGAACCTGGTTCCCAGTAGTCTTTGAACTTCGCAATGAAGAAGCTCAGGGTCCTCTGTGGCTCACTTGATAGGCTGATCTTTCGAAAGGCCTTGTTGCGATGCTCCCAGATGGATCGATCAGCTGGGTCGCCACTGGATCGCTATAGACAGCGACTCCGTTGGGTAGTCTGTGCCATCCTGGGGCCATCTCCATCTCCTGCACATACTTGCTCAAGTACCCTTGTAAAGCCAGAACTCGTGCTGTGCCCTCATCTTCTGCATCCTTCACTGGGATCCTTTCTTGCGTCATCACTGCAAATATCCTGGCTTCACGTTGCAGGGAATTTCGATCGTTGTTCAGAGGGATGTCCACAGCACGACCCTCGTGCCTCAGGCGCAGGCTGCCATCAACATTCCCCAATGACCATCCTCTTCTGAGAAGCTGTCCGGCGCACAATATTGGGCGCTTCCCAATACGAACTCCTCAACAAGCTCCACTTGTCTACCATCCTTGCCAATCAGTCTGATCTTTGCCTTGGTTGTGCCTTCATGAGGTATATTTCGACCTTGGGCATCCACCATCTTCAACTCTTCTCGTCCATCTTGTCGCAGTCCCACATGGGCATAGGACCTTGGCAAGACAGAAATGTCAGCTCCACTGTCCAATGTAATCAGGCACCGGTCATCCTCTTCCTCGTAATTCATTCTCACCATGTTCACTGCCATCTGCTCTTCTATGTCCTGGAGCTCCATGGCAATGATTGTCACGCCACTTGGCACGTCCACCGTGGGCTCATAGCAGTCCTGAAACTCATTCTCCTCAAAGTCATAGAACTCCTCAATCTCAAAGTTCTCTTCGATGACCTTCACCATGCCCACGCGCCATAGATGCGCTTCAGTATTCTCACCGCGAGGTGTGGTGAGGTCAAAGACTCCAGTGAAGGTGCCTCTGGAGGTGTCTCCAGCCTCACCATCTTCACTGATGCTGTCTGGGTTGTCGATGCTCCTCCTCCACCAGCAAATCCAGTGGATGATGAGCTCGCGCCTCCAGGATTCGTGGTCTCCTCGATCTGGCTCACTCTTTTCCAGCAATCTTTTGCGAAGTGACCCATCTTCCCGCATGTGTGGCACGCTCCACCTTTGGATCCTTTTCCACCTTTGTCATAGCTTTTGCCTTTCTTTCCAGGTCCTTTCTCCCGCATGGACTTGCCCTTGTCTGCGCCTTCCCAGGAGCCCTTGCCGTCTTTGCTCTTTCCTTTGTCTCTTCCCTTCTCCTTTCCTTTTGACTCTGTGCCTTTGCTTTTGCCTCCTTTCTTTCCTGTTCCACTCTTTCCAATGTAGTCCACCTCCATAGGAGTTGCATCATCTCCCAAGGTGCGAGTGAGCAACATGAGGATGTTCGAAGTATCCCATTTCGTTGTCACGGCCTCTAGCTGAGTGATACGGTCTTTCAGCTGTTCGAGGTCGTGGCATCCGTCAGCCACAAGCGCAGGCGCTGCCGAATCTGTAATGGACATGCTAGCGACACAGCTGCAACTTTGGCATCATCTGAGTATTTCTGGTTTGAAATCCGCTCGTACTCCAGGATCAGCGGTTCTGAAACTGACTTCCCTAGGCCCGTTCTCATTCTTGATGTGGCGGACGAGCTTCAAAGGTCGCTGACGTAGGTAGGAGGTCAGCAAGCTGTACAACCGCACGGCCTTTGCCTTCGTCTCATCCGACATGTCACCAAAGTCGTAGTTGCCATCCACATTCTCCTCCACCATATCCATGTTGCGGGCCATCGATGGATCTAGGCCCTTCACATAGTTCAGAAAAGAGAACTTCCAATCGCTCCATAGCTTCAGTTCAGCCTCTCTTCCATCCGGCTTGAACACATCTGGCGACTTCAAGTGTCGCGCCCAGCCTTGTGAGGCTTGATTGATGGCCAATCGCTCCAACGCTGTTGGCACCTGTCGTAGGCTCTCATCAGCCATTGCTTTCCAGCCAAAGACCCTTGCGTAATAGGCCTTTGTCTCCACCGTCTCACAACTCCCAATGCCGTCGAAGCCCAGTCCTGCGTAGGATATGATATCCCAGAACCGCCAGTTGAACACTAGCTCACTCAGCTTCTCCTGCTCGGAGTTGTCTCTCACCGCTTCGATCTTCTCAATGAACTTCCACTTTGCGGGCACCACCACTAAAACTCTTTTCACTTCTGTCAGGTCCTCCTGCTGGACCAAGAGTATTGAAGCCCTTACAGCTTTCTCGCTCTTCACCCACCTGACCTTGGCGATGTGCTCCTCGGTCTCGATGCTCAAGGTGTAGACCTTCCTCACCTTCGATCTTCCTGAGGGTGCAATCGAGCCGTCCTGGTAGTAAAGGATCTTCTGGGCTGTAGTCGAACGAACCCGCTGGCCAACCCTGCGAGGATGAGTAGTTCTATCAGCCAAATGGCTGTGAAAGTAGAACCTCCCCTGGATCTTGTCCTCCTCGTCGATCTCGTCGTAGTGACGTGTGGCGACGATGCCGTAGGGCTTGTGGTGCTCGTAGTGCGGGCGGCGTGGGTAACGGAGCCCCAGTGCTTTACGACCAGGGCTCCGCTACCATGAAAAGCACGGAGCGCGACTTTTCACTCGCGAACTTGGGCCTAGTTGGCCATCGTGTTCATGCGTCCTCATGCGCTTGGCTGACTGTCGTCCTGCGTTTGTCCAAATCCTGTCAAAATTTATATCTTTTTTCTTTTGCGCAAAGATGCACGGGCAAAAAAACATCCATTCAACATTGCACGTTCATTCAGTACATCCGCGACTTTTGAGGAGAGTCCTGCACTTGCACTTCTATTTTTGGCACGTGCTTCAGTATCTCCTGCACTTGGATTTTGGGCACCTCAGTTCTTGATGGTTGCTGACCATGCACGGGTATTTCGTCTCATCCCTGCTCCGAATCTCCTTTTCTACAAACAAAAAATGAACATGAATTGTCTGTCTACGCCGCTATGTTCTTGGAGCCTTTGAAGTGGGCCGCCAACATCGTCTACAAACATGTTTGTTCAGTTGGCATGCTTTCCGCAGCCATGGCATACAATAACGCAGAATAACTACACGACGGATGGCCCGGGAGATTGGAAGGACACAGTATGTAGAAAAGGGTTGTCACGAGTATGTTCAGATTCGATAACGCAAACACCCTGCATATCAGCAAGCGTGGTCTGCGCCCAAAATGGTTGAGAGAAGCTGTTGCAGAAGTGTTTCGCTTCCACCTTCTAAGTCTTTGGGAAGAGGAAGCAGATCTTGATCTTGTCTCACTTGAGAAAGAGAAATTAATCAAAGAGAATGTATTTGAGTGCTTTCCTAGGTTCTTGAGTTTTAATCCCCCTGCTGATGAAAATGAGAAAGGGGCAAGAGCTGCCGGCGCTTCAGTTCAAGTCGAGAGACACTGCTTCACCAGTGCTGTTCACTTCTAGTGACCCCGCTGCTGACTCGGAGCTTCTAAACACATAGCAAATGCCAACGCCCAACGCACAGGGCCCTTACAAGGGTCAATGGAGGACTTTTTTGCAGATCGCAATTGCAAAGCATCATGTAGATCTGGTCCAGCTCTGCTAGGGTGACGGAGGGCCAGGACTGCTGACGTTTCAGTTCAACTGGCCAAGCAAGAGCCGCCGCTTCACCAGTGCTGCTCACCTCTTGTAATCCTGCTGCTGACGAAGGTGATAAGGCGCAAGAGCTGCTAACGGTTCAGTTCAATTAAAAGCCAAGAGCCACTGCTTCACCAGTGCTGTTCACCTCTAGTGATCCCGCTGCTGACGCAAGTTACAACGGGCCAAGAGCTGGTCAAGCTTCAGGGCGATTGCCACAGACTAGATCATTTGTCCGCCGCCAATCTTCCCTCCTGCGAACCGCCGAATTTACACAAGCAGGTTTTCCTTACCCCCGTGGCGCAGACTTGCGCAGACGCATTTTCGCTTCCGCGCCGCCAATCATCCCGCTCCCCCACAACACGCCGAATTCACGCAAACATGCTTTCCTCTCCCCCAATGGCATGGGCTCGCGCAAACGCACTTTCCACCGCAAAGCCGCATGGCACAGCGAACATCACAAACGTCACGTGGCCACACGCACGCGCCGCATGTGAGGCCGTGCAAAAACGGCAGGGCACAGCGACATCACAGACGTCATTTGGCCACCCGGTGCACAACAGGCTAGATACGACAATGTAACATCGAGCATCATGTGAACCGCCAATCATCCTGCCCAGCGACATGCCGAATTTACATGAATTTACACTAGCATGTTTTCCTTCGCCCACTGGCGCGCATGCAAGCACCGCCTCCAAGACCGCGCAAAAATACCATATGGCGACAGACTAAGCACAACAACGCGACTACCAAGTGGCCATTTCCACGGCGGTTGCATACTCTGGCAACCTCCACCTCTTGCGACTGTTACCCATTTGGCAACTTCCGGAATTACACACTTTAATGCCTCCCGCCGTAAATTCCGACCACAGTGGCACACTTCGGCCAGGAAATTCGCATTTTGCCTCACGTTTGAGTGCTCGACGCGCGATCTCCGCAGAGTCCGCGCTTGCGCAAAATCTCCATTTCCCCTCATGTTTGAGCACTCGACACGCACGGCTTTCGCAAAGGTTTCGCACCGCCCGCCTAGAGCTCACATTTTGCCTTCTGTTTGAATACTTGTGCGCGTTCTCTGCAGAGGGCTCATCCAGCCAGGCCAAGAATTCGAATTTCCCCTCACGTTTGAACACTGGACATGCACGATTCCGGAGAGGGTTGTCCAGCCAGGCAAGAAGTTGCATTTCGCCTCACGTTTGAGCGCTCGACACGCACGATCTCCGCAGACGGCCCTGTCCAGCCAGGCCCCCGCCTAAGAAAGAACAAAGAAAGAGCCGAGATGTGTCACGCATGCGCGAACAATACTATGTCTTACTCTATGCTAACACATGTGTACTTCTTGCCTACGTGTTTACTGAAGCAAGACCCCAGAGAACAGCACACCTGATTTCGTACATGATTTTACTTAAGCAAGGCCCCAGCGAAAGTTTTACAAGCAAGATCCCAGCACCAAAGCAACTCACCAAAGCAAGATCCCAGCACCAACGCAATGCTAGCGTAGCAGCAGCTCTACACAACCATACCTGCAATGTAAGCTGGTAGCATACCTATTGTATCATACATACAACTGCAGCTATACAAGTCGCAAAGGTATTACCACCTCCGTAGCAGCAGGTCTAGAAGCCCACACATGCAAGCTGCAAATGTACTTATAGCATACATACAAATGCAGCTAGGTGTGTTACGCAAAAGATTTCTACAAAAGCACCCTTCGCAAGGCTCTCGGGAACAAAACAAAAATTGATCCTGCCCAAAGAACACGCATTGATCTTTGTGGAAGTGCATCTCTGTATTTGGACACATGCAAGAGCACGCAAACATGAGGTTACATGTCGCAAGGCGTTTATATGTTTTATCGAAAACATATGTTGGATACTGGATACACTTGAAAAAAAGAAAACACTTGAGCAACCCCATCAATATAACCACGTGTTTTCAGAAACCTAACATTGCGCTTCCAAAGTCACAACCCTGCTTTGTCAGAAGCATGTATAGCTGCGCAGTTCCACAATACAACCGCGCGTTCGTGGTGTTTCCAAATCGTTACACTGCATTGTCCAAAACATTCCACCGTAATGACATTACCACAAATAAACGCAACACAATACAAAACAATATAGCAAACAACATTGAGGATCCCTTTCAAGCTGCAGCATACTCTATGAAATGGGGTTGCAAAACAACATTCAATCACCTTGAGTTCTTCTTTGAAGGTTTGGATCTCAAAACACTCAAAACAAGTGGCTGACCAACAACGGTCAAAGTCTATGGCGCAATTTGAACGATTGATTTGCCTGGTTTTTGAAGCTGCCCAGGCAACTATGTTCTTTACACTTTCGTGCATTGTAATTCCTAGCCTTCGAGTCAATAGTGCTTTGTAGCTTTGTGTTTTCTTCCTGGCAATCAATTGCTCTTTGGTTCGCTTCGTTGTTTTCCCTTAACTGCAAGGTGGGGTAGTCCGCCTAGTGCTGCACCAGGGGATTGAACCCGGGCCACTAGGCCATAACGGCATACCGGCCCTGCTTCGTTTCTTTTGTCACGTGACTTGCAAGTCTTATCGCCACTTACATGCCCACCATTGGCGATCAATGATTGCAAAGGCTTGCCAAGGCATGTTTAATATGTGATTGTAAAGGGTATGCCATTCTCTTGGCAACAATAGTTTCTCCACCGCATACAGTAGACTTCAAACCTCAAGCCGAAACCGGTGGTCTCTGCTCACTTATTTGCTATTTGTCTAAGCCAATCGATGCGTACAGAGTCGCATTCGACCTACTCCAGAATCTCTTGTATGAGTTTAGTGTATCCTTCGAAGGAACGGCGTAAATTCAAGCACACATGACATGGGAGTGGCTCTAAGTTGCAAGGCAAAACCGCACGTCGCACGACTAGATTCTTCATAGTTCGATACATTGAATTGAGTCTGCAAAAAGTTGAGGGGGTCCGGGTTTTACTTTGTCCATGGTCGTGATCAGAACCATCTTTATTGTCTTTGGGTTGTCTCTGACAAGGGGTTGCTGGGATATAGCAATCAATGTACCAAAATATAGCAAAGACACATGTCTCACCACCTCTTGCACCACAGTTTGTGGCACCTCCACCACCTGGCAAACTGGGGACACACAAGGCAAAACCATCACCTTGAAATTGAGCTAAGAAAATCCAGAAAGCGTGCTGATGAACTTCAAATGATCAAATGATCAGCCTTACTGTCGCAGCCTCTTTGATATTAAAGTCTGAATGGCTTGTTCGTCGCCCCGAAGAACTATAGCAAGGCTCTTGCTAAAAGTCCGTGGCTTGCCCCGACGCACCTTCTCTACTTGGTGTATCTGAGGATGCTCGATGATTCTTTCTTGTATTTGGACATCCTTGGCAAATAGGACTTCCAAAGGGCAATTACATTCAAGTGGCTGTCTGAAGACCAAAAAATGGTAAAGCTTTAGGCATTGAAGCTGTGTATGTGTGTATATAATATATACGTATGGAGAAACTTACCTACATGCAACAGGTATCTATCTTGCTTACAAGGATGCCGCATCTTGCGCACGAGCATCAATCTTTGGAATGTGCTTCACCTCGGCAAGGCAAGAGCTTCAAGGAGTATCAATGCCCTTTGTTCCTAGTAGCGTCCTTGCTCCAAATAGTACGGCCAGGAGCCCCTAGTAGCGTCCTTGTTCCTAGTATACTTGCTCTTTCCGATTGAAATATCTCACATCTCCTCGCGTCACATGTTAGCTAGGGCAAACTTGACTTTGAATAATTTTGAAAGCCCGAGATCCACCATGGTTTGTTTGTGGGTTAAGAATCTCTCTCCCTCCCTGATAAGACTTTGGACTTTTTGAAACACCTGAGAAAACACTGTGAGAAGTTTGAAGAAGACGGAGGACAAGCGAACATATGTGGAAAAACACGAGGGCCACATTGTAGCTCGACACGGGGAACCGTAGTGGGATGAACCCAAAAAACCAGCGGCAGTTTCCCATGCAACAACTGTATGAAAACAATCCACCACAGAACCAATAAACAATCAATCCACAACAAAACCAGGCTGTAATGATAATAGGTCCAAGTGGCAATTTCTTGGATTTCAATCTTGGGCACATGCCGGTCCACAGTCTGAATGACTGTCTGTGGCACTTCCACAATCTTCTCCTCAGCCAGCAGGCCAACAATGGGTGCCCATGTTGCAAAAATGAGGAAGTAGCCCAAAGAAACAAAAACATGACACACTGTCATTCGTTGAAGAAACGATCTTGAAACACTCCACGTCATTGGATGCCTTTAACTGCAAGAAATTGCGAAGTGCCGCAAAGTTCTCAGATGGATCATAGATCTAATGCATTGTCCAAGTTTCAACTTGATGCACTTGCGGATGCTCCACGATTCGCTCTTGAAGTTGGACCTCCAGATTTGGGTTATATAGATCTGAAACTGGCTCAGCTGCAAACATACTCCACAAAAGCAAGTTGTACGCAAAGGTGATGGCATGACTTTGTTAAAACGCGATTAGGAACATTCAATCTGTTGCCACCGTCCACAACTCCAAGGCTTTTATGCCTAGAGGGCGTATGAGATTGCGTTCTCCCACATTAGCGTGCTTTGCCAAACCCACGAGCAGCAAGTAGATCCATCAGAATCTATCATCCTTTGGGTTACAGTAAATTTGGCGTTTATTACCAACACCTTGTGTTGGGCGGGTTATCTTTTCTATCAGTGTCCCGTCCGTCCCCCCCCGTTCCGTCCGGCCCGCCCTCGCTCACTCACACCCACACTCACCCACACGATTGGTTGGGCCCGAATCAAATTCTGTTTTACTCAGTCCGTACGTGCTTAATCTCAAGTGTAAGTGTGTGTGTGTGTGTGTCGCACCCTGGTTCTAACGGTTTTCCACACCTTCACCACCTTTTCCACCATGACAGGGAATTTCACAGGCAGGGGGCCAGCGCATGACATCACGACGCTGGCCAACGAAGCTAGTGATGTCATGGGATGCGGTCAGAGACGTCTGACCGTGTACCTGCCAGGCAAACTGTTGCTCACGTTGTCTACTCGTTTGGTTTGTTTCATGGTGTTTCATGTCTTCCTTCCCCTAAACAGGTTTCCCACCGCACTTTTCAGCAACTTGTGCATTGCACTTCAGCCGCGCGAGTGAAACACTTGTTAAACAATACAAATCACCGGACCCTTGCGCCTTGCTGTTCCATCACCGTCCTTCCCATCGTGGCAATTGAGTCTAACTGAAAACCCAAGTTCGAAGTGTGGACCGCTCAGTCTTCCCACGTGGGTACTGGGTGTGACCCTCCGAAAGGAGGCGCCGAAGCCATTCCGGATTTCATTGACCCTGCTTGTTTATAATTGACCTTTTGCTTGTTCACTTTATCCCTGAATTTCCTGATTTTCGAGCCGCCGGGCTATAAGCGACGGAATTCCCACCAATGATTCTGAACCTCATCCATACTGCGCATTGTTGCATTCTTGAATTTTTAACTTTTCACCCGCAGCCGTTTAGCAACTGATCAGCTTTCACACGTTCCGCACTGCCGACCTCAGGGATTGCATTGCATGTCACGAATTCACTTTAATTAATTAATGAAATTTTTCACAGCACACGCACTCAGGCTCCACAATTCACTGCCATTTCCAACTTCTCACCTCCGCTGCTGTGCCGCGCCGGCGCCATTGTCTGCAGCCTTTCGGATTGACCTCTCCATCGCTCTTCACATGCAGTTTCCCTGGCCATATCCACAATGGCCACCACCGTGTACCGCTTCCACAATACCCACTCAGCCACCACCACCATGGCACCATTCTCCACCACCGGCACCTGTCCCTACCGTTCTGTCTCATCCACCACAGCAGTCAACCTTCCCGCACTTTCAGACCGCTCCACCGCAACTGCCAACTTCCACGTGGCCACATCCCATGCCAACACATCCTCCACCGGCACCAACTTTTGTGCCTCACACACACGCCTA